TATTCAGTTACAATTAGAGAGATCAACTTAACAAACAGAAGGTTTTGCCCAATGCGGCTTTTCAAAATTTTTGAATCTGATTTTCTTGAGCAGCTAATGTCAGTTCAAATGTAAGAGAAGTGCAGAAAAGCTTGATTTGGAAAAAAATCAAGTCTTGAGGATTATCTTCGGAATATTTGGATACATACAGTTTGTACAAGCAGAAATCCGATTTCGCCCAAGAAGGGGGTGGTGACCTTCTAATGACTGCGGTAGATTAAGGATTACTTAATAATGCTTCTCACAAATTATTTGCTAATGGAAACACGGATGTTTTATATATCAATTTTTTATATTTATATTATTTTCATATGAGAGTTTATTGATTTCCTGGAACGATTATTCAAAATTTTGTTGAAGTGGACATTTGCAGATTGCCGCTCGGGTACTAGGAGTTCCCATCGAAAGGGTCTACATTCATGAAACTGCTTCAGATAAGGTAAATACAGCTTCTTGCATTCTAATCATTTTCTTAACCTTCTCATTTCTTGGTTTTTCTCATAAAAATATTCAGGTGCCAAATGCATCCCCTACAGCAGCTTCAGTTGGTAGCGATATGAATGGTTTGGCAGTTCAAGTAGGTTCTATAAAATGAGCTCTGGTAGATTCTCAAACACAATTTTTTAGGACGCCTGCAACAAGATTCTGAAACGCTTAGAGCCTTTCAAAAAGTCTAACCCTAAAGGAACATGGGAAGATTGGGTCAAAGAAGCGTATATAAACCGAGTCTCGCTGTCAGCAACGGGATTCGCTATGTACGTAATTTTAGACAATTTTAAGAACAATGCACAAGTTTTCTCTTACAGTATCCACAGCGAAACTGTCGACTATTTCAATGGTAAAGGTGCTGAGTTGTTCGGATATTGCGTCTACGGTACTGCATGTTGTGAAGTTGAAGTCGATTGCTTGACAGGGGACCATCATGTAAGTGAGAGAACACATTAAAATAATAAGTAAAATAGTGGCTAGGAAGATGTCACCAAAGATTTTTAGCTTTTGCAAACGGATATCGTAATGGACATAGGGGATTCGTTGAATCCAGCCGTTGATATAGGACAAATAGAAGGAGCTTTTATTCAGGTACGTCAGTCTTGTAATTTTGTCAAAATCATAGAACGAACAAACTCTCAAATCTAT